TCTATTGCCCACCAAAACATAATAACCGTAAGGACTATGAAAAATTCTTCAGAACACTGGGCAATAGGTTTATAGTAGCTGGTGATTTTAACGCCAAGCATACAGCATGGGGATCATGAATCACTAATACTAAAGGGAGAGAGCTGCTGACCGCTCTGGGAAACAATAACCTAAGTTATTTATCCACAGGGCAACCGACATACTGGCCCACTGACACCAAGAAAATACCAGATCTGCTCGATTTCTGTGTAATCAAAGGAATTCAGATGAAACGATTCTCGATAGAATCATCCTTAGACCTTTCCTCAGATCACACCCCACTTCTAGTAACCCTCTATTCACACATAATTGAAAAAGAAAAAGGGCCGTCACTGTATAACAAGCGTACAAACTGGAATTATTTCAGAGAAAAATTGGACGAAATAATTGCTATAGATATTCCACTAAAAACTGCAATGGATATTGAAACAGCAGTTGAAAACCTAACTAAAGCCATTCAAACAGCAGCATGGCAGGCTACACCCGTCCAACAGCACACCCATTGCAAGGAGGAATGTCCAGTTATTGTAAAACAAAAGATAGCTGAAAAAAGAAAAGCAAGAAAAAGGTGGCAGTTAACACGAGCACAGCCTGACAAACAAAAGCTTAATAAACTTACAAAAGACCTTAAAAGCTTGCTACAGAAACTAAAAGATGATTCCGTACAGACGTATCTGGCTGGTTTAACTGCCACCACGGCAACAGATTATTCGCTATGGAAGGCAACGAAGCGACTTAAAAGACCGCAACAATCAATACCGCCAGTCAAAACCTCTGACGATAAGTGGGCAAGAAGCAATGAACAAAAGGCCATGGCATTTGCCAAGCATTTGCAAAATGTATTTCTCCCCAACGACATCGAAAGTACCCTAGAAGACCAGCAGGCGATCAATAGGGTCCTTGCAGCACCGCATCAGATGGCCCCACCCATAAAAAAATTCAAAATTAAAGAAGTCAGACAAGTCATACAAAAAGAAATCAACGCAAATAAAGCGCCTGGGTATGACATAACTACAGGGAAGGTCCTACAGGAAGTCTCTGAGAAGTGTTTTCACGTAATCACGATGATCTTCAATTCAGTGTTGAGAGTGGAGCACTTCCCCATTCAATGGAAAATAGCGCAAATCATCGTGGTTCCTAAACCGGCGAAAAATCCCTGAGAGATTGCATCGTATAGACCTATAAGTCTTCTACCCGTCCTTTCAAAAGTCTTAGAAAAACTCTTGCTGAAACGCCTCACACCAATCTTAGAAGAACAGAAATTAATACCAAGCCATCAGTTTGGTTTCAGAAGCAAGCACGGTACTACTGAACAGGTACATAGAGTAGTGA